AATAAAACTCTTAAACATCATAACAACACTTTGACATCAAATATCCACTCAAATCATGCTTTTGAACGTGAACTATCAGGAACGTGTGAATTAGAGAGAATATTTGAGAAGTAAGAGAAGGCTTTAGATGCCCAGCCCTTGAAATTTCACCTTTTCCAGTAAGACAAAGCTGCATTTTCTTTGGGGATGTGGCTGCCTCAAGGGATCTATGTCAATGATTCTCCCTAACCCAGTTGCTGTCTGCCTTGCATGCTTATGTAGGAGATGTATTTATAGCTCCAGGTGCTTTAGGTACAGTATATGTTTCAGAGGGACAGCAGAATTAATGGACCTGTCGGACTGGAACTGTGCATCCCGAGCACCTCCCATTGGGGGAGACCCCCTTTTCACAACGGAAGTGGGTTTTTGAGCTCATCACAAGGAATCAAGTTCTCAGCAATTCTATTTAAATATATTTGCATTATAGAAAGATTCATTCGAAATGAATCCTCATTAAGTAGCAGCTCAATGAAAAGTTTTTCTTCTTTATAAAAGATCCACCCACAAGTAACATTATAGTTTGTAACTATGTATCAAAGCGTTTAACCTTGACAACAAGAGCTTGCATAGAAACTGTTTTTTTCAAGACTCCGCAGTGCTTATCTACGCCTTGCCTATTTCTGTTTTTAGAGGCAGGAGGATCGGGGGCAGTAGAGAGAGACGACACATCTGTGCCAGAGCAGTGACACCCCTGTCCTGACCTGGATGAAGAGAAAGAGGGGGAGGAAGGTAGCGAGAGATGGCTGGCATAAGCTGGCTGGGCTGGCTTTCAGACACACCTTTTTACCCCAGGAGTGATTTTCTTTTTCAACACAAATTAGCAGTAGGAAATGAACAGTTTAGAGGGTGTGTTATGTGAATTTTGTGAACTTTAACACTCCTTCTCTGCTTCTCCAGCAGTCTCATCAGTACGGATGTCTTTGACCCAGAATTTGCAACTCACTGCATGTACTTGTGAAACTTCTGGTAGTGTGCTAGTTTTTAGATGATGATCTGTGAATGTGAAAATGAATGTCCTCTAAATGCTAAACAGGGCTTATTTTGGACGGAACACTTCATACCATCTGTGTATAAACCTTGTATGCATCAGCGTTAGACTTTGCGTAAGTAGTGGCTTAAATTATTTGTTCTTCTGCATTATTTTCTGATGTGCTTTTATCTTGACTATTATTTATCTATTTGACTTGCTTACAAAATTGATTAAAATATCAAAAATATCAAAAGATAAAGTAGCTATGTATGTTCTATTTATTCTAAGTTACTTCAGTCAGATTGCAATTGCCTTGATTATCTTTTTGATCACGAGTAAGTTCTCTTTTCACCTGTTTGAGCATTTTCTATAAATCTGATCTTCCAGAACAGTAAGCATGCAGTAATTACACTTTTTTTTTCCAGATGCATTTTACAGCTTTACCTTATGAGACACTTGTTCAATATGCTCTGTTGTTGTGTTGGTGGGTTTGACTTGTTTGACTTATGTTAAATCAGGTGTGTGAAATTCCGTTGTCAGAGTTTGCAGAGCTTTCATGCTTTAAAACGAATTGAATAGTACCTTGCTGAACTTTGCTGTAGAGTCATGGCATTACACTAATAAATCCACCTTAAATATATGCTGAAATGTCTGTTTTAAACTTCATTAATTCAAATTAACGAGCCGTTAGTTTCCAACAGTTCCCATTATGTCATCTGTCACCTCCATCTCTGGTGGTAAAGTTGAGATTTTTCTTCTTCTGTGTGTGTGTGTGTGTGTGTGTGTTTGTTTGTTTGTTGGTGTGTGTGTGTGTGTGTGTGTGTGTGTGTGTGTGTGTGTCTCACTGCAACGTAAGCAGGGCTGATAATTGGAGAGACTAGGTTTCCACGAAGCTGGAACAACGTTTTGTCTCGCGTGTGGTTCTCTTACACAAGAACTCTCATGATTAATTCATAACATAAAACTGTGCATTTCTAATATTTACAATTTACAGTTACACTAGATATAACTTGAGTTTATACTAATATTAGTAGCTATTAGAGCAATTTAGGACATTTTAAATGCACAGTTGCAGAGCCTCTGTAGTGGTTTCTATATAAGCTATAAAATGTTGTCAGCCTATCAACAAGTGCATTATTATGAACATCTACACCACAGAGTGATGTATGTACCTGGCGAATTTTTAGCAACACATGGCCTACCTTTATTGCAATAAGGCTGTTCAAATCACAAAAGAAAAAACAAATTTTTTTTGCTTCGTTTGCCCAGGCAGTCTTGTTCGCTTTATGAGAAACAGGCTAGAGCATCTTCAGTCTCCCAATGCTCCCACTCAGCACACCCACGCACATCTGAGCCATACAGCACACTGCACAAACTCAAACTGCACATGCATTCTCACACAGGAAAAACACAACCCATACTTGAGTATGCAGATCGCACTGAGACAACTCATTCTCACACTCATGCACACACACACACACACACACACACACACACACACTCACACACGGGTTCTTGGTTGTGTCACCAGCTGTAGAGGTAGGACAACCGACATGAGTCTTGCGCTCAGTGGTTTTGCAAAGCTGGGGTGCAGAGCACTTCCTTCTCAGGCTGACATTCCTCCTCCGCCACACTCTCATAAACATCCTCTATGGGTTTTATGTGGACCTATTCTCTCTTTTCTCCTACTCAGTCTCAGAGGTGCCATGGCCACGTTCTCCTGTCTCTTTAATGACTGTGGGTGAACAATCAATATTCTGCACACCTCCAAACATAGCACAACACCCACTTGGTGCTGTAGATTGAATTCTGGGAGTGAGGGGAAAGGACATGTTTGCAAAAAAAAATAAAAAAATCAGCCTTAAAATCTTGTTAGTGAGAGTCTTAATGGATCCTCATGTGAGTCATGTGAGCAAGTTTGTAAAGCACATGGTATCCTGAAACCTACCAGAGAATAACACTTTTGTCCCTTCCTTTTACAACGTGTTAAGCATAAGTGGACTATTTTGGGAGTAGATCATATGAAAGACCTGCTTGGCTGGTTCGTTCTCTTTCTCAGACAGCTTGTCAGTGAGAAAAGATCTCTGTAGTCTCCTGGGTGATAATTAGAGATGCATAAGCCAGAGCAAACAGCAGGGGGCGTAATAATCAGCTTTCCAGTTGTTATGCCTGTGGCCTTGCCATCTTAGGAGATGGTGAGAATTTTTTAATACACTTAGCAGTAGTAAGAGGGTATAAATTAATAGGCTTTATTGCCACAGCAGCATAAACAACACCTGATAGATCACCATCTGTCAAACTGTAAAACAGAGGAGTCCCTGTCAAAAGATGTGATATCACATCTGTATGTCTGAGTAACACAGGGGTGGCATCAGTCTCAACTGAACTAAATGTGACAATGGTTTCTGCCACAACACATGCACCCAGACTGACTGAGACACACAGGCCCCGTCTGTGTCCTGTCTCTCTTACTCTGTTGACTGGAAAAGTGTCTCCCTTGATTTAGAGTGTGTTAGAAGATGAGAGGAAGAGGGGAGGTGCTGCTTTTAGCGAGGGCAGAGGTGGAGGGGAAGAGGTTCGGCTTTGATGGCTGACTACACAGGAGTCTGAGTCCTGGGAGAGTGGTGGGGAACAGCAGCTGTTCCCACAGTCCTGGTGCTTTCTATCAACCGTGCCTCCTCCTCTGCATAAAACCTCCCTTTGTTGTCAAACAAAATGCTCTAAAAACTCAACAAAAGACTGCTTTCCTGAACTGAGAGAGATGACATATAAAGCAAATGACTCATCAGAGCATAGAAACTAATGCCTTGTAATCTCCAAAACAGTGAAAAATCACTGATGTAACATGGAACATAACTTTGCATCTTACAAGAAATTAGGACTGCGTGTTAGATTGGCAGTCATCAAAGCTCTTAAGAACTAAAATCCTTCATTCAAACAGCTGTGTTTTGACTTTTTGTACTCTGACATTGTTTTCATTGTTGGTTGTTGATTGTTTATTTGCACACCTATTTTTTTTTTCACATGCACATTGGATATTAAAATGACAGGAAACAAAAAGAGCAAAAGTATAGTGGTATTACAAGTCACAACATGTATGTCAGAACATGGCCAGTACTGTTGTTGGCAGCTTCTCTTAAAGTATTGCCTCCTTCATCTGATTTCTCTAATGATCCATCACTTCACCGCCTCAGTGTAGCTTCTACACCACCCAGAGGACAAAACAGGTACAAGTCATTCTTTATATTTCATTTCCCCTTATTTCTTACCTCTTACCTGTCTTATCATGCAGCTCTCAGCCAGGGATACAGTACCATGGATCATGAACCTGACAGATACTGTAGCAACAAAATGCTTCAAGGCTGTGTGTGTGTGTGTGTGTGTGTGTGTGTGTGTGTGTGTGTGTGTGTGTGTGTGTGTGTGTGTGTGTTGGTCAACGGTAGGGCTGGTTGCCAAGTGACAAATTGTGAGTTTATTGTGAGGCTGCAGTCCAGAGAGAAGTTTGCACAATGTGACAAAAGTGGGCCAAAGAAGGGGGGAAGTGAGTTGTTTTTCAAACTCAGACATTTCAGAGCTTTAAGTGGGCTCCTCTTAGAGCCACAGTTTTGGCTGAAGTACAGTAGTTCCTGTAGGAATTCTTGCAAAGTAGCTCAACTTAACTTAACTGACTGAAAAAAAAAAGAAGATTCTTTTCAGGAAGCTTGAAAAAATAATAGACGCTTTTAGATAAATAACCACCTTAAAAAGCAAACACTATTTTCTTTCAGCTCCTTTCTGAAAGGGCAGTGTGGAGTGGAAGAGGGGAGCTCATCTACACTATGTCTCTGTCTCACTCAAACATACAAACACAGTCACACATAAACACACACACACACACACACACACACACACACACACACACACACACACACACACACACAGTTGGCTGTTGTTGGCTGTGAGTGGGGTGCTGTGAGGAGAGTGGGGCTCAGTGTGACCAGGCAGAGGCCAGTCTTGCAGGAAGGCAGGCAGTGGAGAGAGTGTTGAGCCGCAGAGACGTGCCCGGGGTGGATAAACCATGCTCGCTAAGTGGGAGAAAGACTCTGCCCAGGACACAAGATGAAGGTGGAGAGGAAGACCTCCTCTACAGGCGACAGTTTCACTGACATTCCGGTGCTACTGACGCTCTGTGGCCTCCTCCTCCTCCTCCTCTTCACAGGTAAGTCCAAAGATTTGTTGGGCTATCCAGAGATTAGAGGATGAATAATTTCCGGGAGACTGCTACTGTATGTTTCAGATGATGATCAAACAAGTGAGTTTTTCTTCCATTGTGAAATTCTGGCAGTTAATTAACAAGCAAAGAGAAAAAAAAAAGTAAGATCTTTTTCAATTACTGTCTTATTTTACAGTCTTTGGTTTACTCTCTTTGTGTCACTTAAAAAGCAGATCAAAACCTAAATCCCATGTCTTTTAGAAGTGAAGCTAATCCAGGTTAAGTTAGTCGAAGATGTTTTTTCTTGTCCTTGTGTTCCAGCACAATGGATCCGCTCATGGGTGGTGCTCTATATTGGTTCCCCATCAAATGCTCAAAGGAGCCTGGAGTGGCTATTGTAGATGTGCAAGGAGGGGATGTGTAGGTTAAGTGTGACGATATCAAGTTTTGTGGAGAGCTGTTGAAGAGGGCAGGGCCTGCTCTTTGTGTGTGGGAAGTTTCAGGCGAGTTCATGTCAGTGTAAAAGTGATGTCAAAAGTTTACCATGTGGTGATTTTGGTTTTAAAACGGTGTGATTTGATTTCATGGCCGTACCAAGGTTCCAGTTTACCCACCCGGGCCAGTTTTGGTAGAATCACTGAATCCTGTGTCTATCTCCAACTTCACCAGTGACAAAGAGTTCCTCTCTGTCTCTCCCTCTCTAACCCTCTCTCACTCTTTTCAGTGGAGGAAACTAGTTCCAACAATCATGCCCTTTGTCTTATTGCCTTGGAAACCCCTGTCAGGCGGACCAAATGGTTACCACGGCAATGAGGCGATGCCCTGCTAACTGCCTCACTGCAAAGAATAGTGAACAGTGCAGAGTCCCTCTCTCCCTCTCCCTCTCCCTCTCGCTCCTGGGTCAATTTTTCGATCACTGAGGCCTAACAGTAGGATGCCCCTCACAGGCCTGCAGCCAGTGTTTAGACCTCCATGTGTCCAGCTACAGCAGAGTTATAGGAACCTCCACTGTGAACATAATAGCTTTGCTGTGTTTGGTTTCCAAGACAGGGCTCCTATATAAAGGATGAAATGCGGCTCACACTGTAAAACCTTATCCTTGTGTCCCTGTGGGAGACGGAAGATAATTGGGGAGCACAAATCAAAATTAGTCATTACTTGTTCACCATGAGGGGTCAGATTTGTGATCAAGACATGACTAGGCGTCGTGGGCCAGGGTAAAAGCAAAGCAACGTGTATGCATGCAAGTTTGTTTGTATGCATAGTATAAGCTGACTAAGCTGGCTGTTTTAAGGCAGACATGCACAGAATTTCTATTCATTAAGTCTGCAACCGAAAAAGAATGAAAGCCCTGTCTCACAGTATCAAAATGAAGTTGAGCTTCTTTATAAGTAAAAGGAGCCTAAATTGTATTAAATGTTTAATTGCTGGCATTAAAAATTAGTACATCATTTACATTGATGTGTAATGTAAAATAAAATCAATTGTTTCAATCAAATCATTCAAAGCCAGTGAGATGTAATGTAAAATTATTGCACAAAAAGCAATACTTAGTAAATATATCACGGTGTCTCATATCTTGGCACAAAGTTTTCAGGGGTGATGGAAAAAGAACTAGAAAAGCAGTGTTGGCATAATTTCAGTTACTAATGTGCTACTAGTGTTGGGAAAGGCAGCCTCTGCACATTTACATCAAATGTAGATATGCTAATTCATTAGTAGATACTTGGTGTGCAGAGTTTTTCTTTTTTTTTTCAGTGTTTGATGTTTAAGACTCAGTGGCATCTTGGCATTATGTTTGTGACAATCTTGTCAGAAAATGATCAGTAAAGTAAATTACCAAATAAGAATAAAATGACATTTTTGTTTAGTTTTTTTCTTTTTTACTTTCTACAATCTTAAGAATTTTGCATTATAGGTGCATCAACATCTAAGATGCATTTTAATGCTTTTGGTCATTTGATTATTTAAAATAATTAAACCAGCATGTTGTGGAGTTCAAAGTCTAACAGCGTGATGCATCTCTGGGGCTCATTATACAGTTTTTTTTTTTCAAATTTCAGATAAAACTTTAATCAAATCAAATAAATGAAGAATTGTGACAAGTCCAGTATTTTCAAACACAATTCAATATCTTAGATGCAGTGGTGGGAAAAACAAAAAATCTCATGAACAGACAGAAAAATGACAGTCATGTATTTACACTGTAGCTGTGTAAATGTGCTTTGTTCTTTTTTACCTCTGGTGTACAGGGCTTTTGCATCCACGCCACTTCACTGCTCTGACTTTTCCTTTCTGTTTGTAGTGGTCGTAGTAATTAGTGTAGCAGTAATTAGTGTGTTTTTGCATAAGTCCTCTGTTGTTTCAGTGTGTGTGAATAGTTAATTCCTCTGATCTCTGCTCACTGGCGGAGCATCAAAGGAAACATAGTGACTGTCCCCAAACAACTGCCATGCTATCCTTGTATTCCTCTCCGTCTGCTCCTCAGTTTGAGACTTCACCACTGTCTCTTTGCCTTTCATCCAGGTGAGGTGTCAGCGGTGAATGTGACCAGCCAAACCCAGGTGGTGAGGGGCACAGTGGGCAAAGAGGCCCTGTTGTCAGTCAGCTACTCCAGCAGCAGCTCCGACAAGCCCGTGATTAAGTGGCAGGTAAAGAGGAACAAAGAGAAACCTATCACAGTGGTGCAGTCCATTGGAACAGAAATCATAGGGAACCTGAGGCCAGAGTACCGCAACCGTATCCTGGTGTTTGAGAATGGATCGCTGCTGCTTCACAACCTGAAGCTGTCAGACGAAGGGGCGTACGAAGTGGAGATCTCCATCACAGATGACAGCTTCACTGGAGAGCACTACATTGAGCTGACTGTGGATGGTATGGAGAATTACCCTCTGGTTTCTCTCATGTTTCAGAATATATGAGCAGTCAGAGCAGGACACTGAGGAGGAGTTATGAGCTAATACAAAATCAATACAAGTTGAATATACATGATATTGCCCAAGAGTACTGTAATACTGAAGTTTACTTTTTCAGAGCGCGATACAGAGTGATTCACAGTGTTGGTGGTGTTCTTTTTAAGACACCAAACAGGATTCCACTTATCAGCTGTTCTTATATATCCAGAGGGCAACCACCCTCTCGTATCTGTGAATTTCAATCTCAAGCCCCCTGTGCCTTTGCCCTGTCATCCTCCAGTTCCTGTGTCCAAACCTTATATCCAGATGATGGCTTCGTCTGTCCTGGAGTACAGTGAGTACTTCAACCTGCACTGTTCCCACGATAACGGCACAAAGCCCATCTACAGTTGGCTGAAGGGAGGCAAGGTGCTGACCAATGACTCACGCCTGCTGCTTTCACATGACCAAAAGGTGCTGACCATCTCACGCGTTCTTATGTCAGACGATGACATTTACACCTGCACAGTGGAGAACCCCATCAGCAGCATGAAGAGCATACCTGTCCGGCTCACTGTCTACAGTAGGTGGAATGTTACACCGGTAGGATCTCAAGTTATACAAGCTTACATTAAGGAAGAATAGATAATGGTATAATAACGTCAGATGGGTTACCAGCCGAGGTGGAAGAAGTACAGTAGATGTTTAACTTGAGTAAATGTAGCACTACCACAGTGTAAAAATACTCCAATTGTGCTTTAAGTATCAATAGTACTCATTGGGCAGAATGACCTTTGTCAATGTTATATATATATATGTTGTTATATATTATAATTTTGGATTAACTGCATTGTGTTATTTATAAAAATGCATTCAGTCAGATAAATGTGGAAAAGAGTAAAGTTTAAATACTTAAGTGCAAGTACCTCAAAATTGCACTTGAGTACAGTACTTAAGTGAATAATTACATTCCACTAATGGTTTCTAGTTTAAAATAATTCCTCCAACAATACCAAGCAATCTGGTTTTGAAAGACTCTACTTAGGAAAACTGAATATATTTGATCTCATTGTTCAACAACCTTCCATTTTCAGTGGCTAGCTGAAGCAATTATCATCTCATGCTGACCCATACACAAGCATGCCTGCCGCTCTAACAATGTTGTTTACAACAAGTGCAAATCCAGGCAGAGAGTGCAGCAGAGTTGGCTCAGAGCGGCTGTTACCAGGCGCCACTATAGAGCCACATGTCAGGCTGAGAGAGAGGGAGAGGCAGTCTAATCCAATGAATGGACAGTTATTTATGAGGAGGGAGCAGAAAAAGAAGGCAGGTGGGGGGAACGCTGTGCCTCAGTGGACTTCAGTAATCCTGACTTCATTATTGCTGTACTCTGATGTGCTGCATGAAGAGACAGCTACAGACCCTCGAACTGCTCTCTGTTCCCTCAGCATGGGTAGCAGCACGGCACAAAGTCTCAAAGTGACTACCCTAATGTGCTACTTCACTGCACTGTATTCATGCCAGCACACTCAAAAGACTTGGCAAGCAGTTGGGGAAAAAAATCAAATCTTCTGCATGCTCCATATCCTGGCCATGTTTCATTATAAGCTCATGGTCTGTGAGAAAAAAAACTAGGAAAAAACTATTTATTGCCTTGAAGACACAACTTCATCTAATCCTGCAAACGTTGCATTAATTGTCCTGCTGTTATTGACACAAATCTTTTCTTTCTTTCTTTCTTTCTTTATATCTTTCTTTCTTTCTTTCTTTGTGTTCACGTCTACCTCTCTGTATGACTCTGTTTCAGGACGGAGCTCGCTATACATCATCCTGTCCACTGGGGGCATATTCCTCCTAATCACCTTGGTGACAGTCTGTGCCTGTTGGAAGCCTTCAAAGTGAGAGCTATTTTCTTCTTTTCCCCTCTTCCCTCTCTCTCTCTCTCTCTCTCTCTCTCTCTCTCTCTCTATCTCCCTCTGTGTCTCTCATTGGCTTTGATATTGCACTTGAGGATGTGACTAGAATCTCAAGTAGCTCAACAGTGTCACCATTCTCTACTAGTCTGGACATCTAGTGGAAAATGATTGAACAACCTGTAACTTGTATTACCCCCAGTTTTGGAAGAAGGTTTGTATGTGTTCCAAGAGTTTTTTTTTTCTTGCTGTAGAAAGAAGCATCGACCTGTCCCCCAAAGAGCTCCCATCTATGTAGAGCAGAGCGAGAATGGCCATGATGGTGAGCAGCAGTTACAGTGGCTCCTATGATGTGTCAAACAACACTTTGTTATATTTTTTATTATATTGTAATTAACCATTGACACATGTCACAAAACATCCAGAATTATTTTACATGAATTTAACCATAGTCAACAGAATACCAACCATTTCTAAAATGAATACTGTATATTTATTTGCAGTTGACGTTGTACCCAAACCCACGACACTCGGTCGAAGGAGTCCCATGCCTCTTTATGTTCTGAATGAAGATGTAAGTCACTCTTTTTTTTCCCCAGAACCCCATTTGGCATTTATAATAGCCATTAACAGCTTTATAACAATGAAACAAGACTACAGTCTACAGCCATGCTAGCAGCTCTGTAGCTGTGCTTCGTGCTGAGAGCTAACATCAGCATAAAATGATCACAATGATAATGCTAACATTCTGATGTTAATGTTTAGCATCTTAGTTTTGCATGTTAGCATCTAACAACATTTGCTATCTAGCACTAAACGCAAAGTACAGCTGATGCTGATGAGAAAGCAGTGGCTCATAAGTAAGTATACTTATCAACTATAGTATTGCAAAAATAAATAAATAAATAGGTTTTGACCTGATGAGGCTGTTAAAGGAAAAGTACAAGTGCAATCACCAAAGTTGTTACAGTTCATACTAAAGGTGACATAAACGTTCTTAGCAAATTTCATGGTGAACCACCCAGTGGTTGTCAAGAAATGTCAGTCAAGACCACAAATGTGAGCCTAATGGTGTCGCTACAGGAGAAGTCAGGGGATCACTAAAGTTTATTAGGCTTTATCCTAATGTCTGAGAAAAAAACAACAACTTTTGTGCTAATCCATACAATACTTATCAAAATATGCCCTTAAAAGCCAAAAATGTTAACACCAGACCAACACTGCCATCCATAGAGCCATGCAGCAATAATAGAATCAGAGATAAAACATCACAGATGGTGATCGTAACTACATCTTTTCCTATTTCAGGAGACTCTGGAGCGTTTGGAAGAATGTTCTGGCAATGCTGTCAGCCAATCAGAAATGAGTATCCCTGCTACCTATGCTCCAATCCTTCCCCCCACCTCCAACAGAACTGAGCAGCCCATCTGGACTGCTCCACGCAGATACACCCGCAGCCCCTCTCCACTGGCACAACCCATCCCACAGCCCCATCTAGGTCCTCCCCTACGCCCTGTCCGCTCACCTGCTCACTCCCCGGGTTCATCTCCACGCAGTTTCAGCCCAATAAGAAAGGTCCGTCCTCCAGTGGGCATCCCAGCCAGCCACCTGCCTGTAGAGGCAGAGCATCCAGATCCCAGCGACCAGACACACTGTCCATCGCAACAGTGACGACTGCACGTTCCTGGGATGTATGCTTTCATTCTGTGATATGTAAAGTACTTGTATAGTTTATTGGTCTTTTGTTGCATCCTGAGGATAACGAGAAAAAAGGATCGGATGCACTAGGATAAGAGATGAGTTCCCTTTAACCTAACTCCTTATTTTCATGTTCCATTATTTATGGCTATGCACAATAAGTCTGTAGTTTTTTGATGATATCCTGTGACATGAAAAAATGATATCCTGTTCACCAACATGTAGAATATCATATATATGAAGCTGAAACAGTAAAGAATTTCCAGCTCTGGTATATATTTTGCTTCTTGTTGCATTTTAAATTTTACTTTGAACTTTTGATAAGTGCCTGTGCATGTGTAAGTTAATTGTTTTTAGGGTTGTTTTGTTTTGTTTTGTTTTGTTTTGTTTTGTTTTGTTTTGTTTTGTTTTGTTTTGTTTTGTTTTGGAAGAATTAAACCACAAACTGTATTCTTATTAGGTCATTGTATAACCTAAGGTAATAAAACAATTTCAATAGTTTGTATGTTGTTATCGCTTTTCTACATATTTTATGTATTTTCTATTTGTACCTGTTTTTGACTTCGACAGTAATATTATATTGTTATCATTGTTATGCACACCATTCAACAAAGTCATGATGCCACAAACCGTCCTTTTACATCTTACCTTTTTTTCCTTGAATGTGAGTGTAATTCCTGTCCAGCCCATTAGGTGTCACCCACACATTTCCTTTACATATTGTATTTCAATGTACACTTTTCAGAGATAGATTTACTTGCTGTGTAGCTGTTGACATATGACATTTTTGAGTATATTGTGTTATGTTCGATGCTTTTGAAATGCCTCTTACTCTTCAATTACTTGACATTAGAAGGTCAGTGAAGATCAAGCTGTGCTCAAACGACAAAAAAAAAAATCCAAATATAGAAAATATGATCAAGCCAAGAGGAGGCTGTTATGTGCACTCAAAGAGTTCATATTTACAGTCACTTCTGAATTACTACAAGCCATTCAATTCAATCATGTATCCTCCAAATGATTTTCTATCAATAGACTCTTCTTGATTGATTATTGACAAATCGTATCTGAAAACATATGGCAATTGTATTTAGTACAATAGTACAGTAACAATTCCTTATGTTGGGTTTATAGCATGCTCTTTTTACCCACTGCACAAAACCACTGACGGACAGCATGGAATAAAAAAGACCAAAAAGATCAAAGATTAAAGGACGTGCTGCGCCGTATTCAGTTGTTCAGTTGAGGTACAAGGTTGTGAGAGAGTGTAATCCATGCAAACGCACACACACAAAGTGGCCTAGTTCACCACTATTATCAGGATAATGTGTTCCCTTCAGGCGACCAGCTGGGCATCTTTTGTCATGAAAATCTGCATGATTTTATTAATTGCTTTTATCCTGAAATGTATCTTCCGTTACCGAAGGTGTTATGAGTCTTGTGGTTACATAAGCAAATCAGATCCGCCTGTTTTGATCTGGGCTTTGTGGTCTTTGTTCTATTTGAACCACCATTTATTCCTTGGCACACAGTCTCATGAATACACATACAGCATCATGGATACACATAAGTAAGCAAGCACACAGACATGTGCATAATCACTTGTGGCTTGCAGTAAGTGGAAAATGAAATGTCCTGAGATAATGAGAGCGGGCCTTTCTTAATGAGCTTGGACATTGCTTTTTATCTATTTTGATCTCACATCCTGGCTTTTAGTCTTACAGTCTTTCTCATCATGTTCCACCTCTCCTCCAGCGTGGCAGAGGAGCCCTGGAAGCCCAGGCAGTAATTAGACTCTGGGGATCATCATCACATCTGTGTGCATACGGTATGTGTGTTTGTGTCCGTGTGTCTGCACAGTGTAATGAGTGTGAGGGGAGTAGGTGTCCTAAGAGTTGAATAGAGATGATGTATGACGCTCTCAATCTCGAATTAATTACCTCCTCCTCGTGCCTGGTCGAGCATTCTCACTAATGCCCTTGTTCACACCAGCCTGTTGATGTGAGATTCCCAGTAGAGGAGGGTGACTTTATTATTGGAAAGCTCTCATCTTTGCTTTTTTTTTTTGTGTCTGTGATGACCCTCTCCATCTGTGTACCTGTTGCTTCCTGTTTATGCCTGCTTCCTTTGCAGGTACTGGAGGTGGGTGTGGCAAAGGGTTGTCAGTACCTTTGCTCATCAGCAGACGTGGCACACCTGGGCCCTGTGCGCTAGTGCTTTTAAAACCATGTCGGAGCTCAGTTCTGGTTCTCTCTCCTCCCTGAGGCAGCCGTTTGGTTTGTGTTGTTTCTGTTGCTGCACCGTACAACATTGCCTTCACACACTTCTTCACTCATGCGCTCACTTACACTGCTGATCTTATAGATTATACATGCCATTGTTAGTTTAAATTCTTCTCCTAGATTTATTGTCTGTTTTTTTTTTTTTTTTTTAAATTTGTTCATCGGCTCGTCTGTGTGCATCTCCCTCTTTTGTCATGGCTGTGCGGCCTGGTTTGTGACATGTCTAAGCCAGGACCTGTCACTCATCCATAATAGGTAATTCCCTGGTAGAGCTCGGCCTTTTGTGTTAATGTAGGTCAATAAAACAAAGAAGAAGAGAGGAGTTTCTGTAGCCAATGTCCTACTAGATCGCTGTGGCAGATGGAAGTTACTTGACGTCTTCTCTGATTCTTAGTCTTTATTGAAAACCCTGTTACATTTTTCCTGAAATTCTGATAACATATAACACTGAATATTTCCTTAGTGTTATATGTTATTTACTATATTTATATTTTCAATCTGTCTTGTTACAATTCCACCACTGCTACTTCTGTCTGTACATTTATGTTACAGAGGCAAATAGATATAGATATTATAATATAGATATTTGGCAGATATAGTTACTGGTTACTTTTCAGATTAAAATTTTATAAAAAAAATAAAATAAAAAAAAATTCTAAATTAAAAAAACTGTATTAAAGATTAAACCAGTGGTTTTCAACATTTTTTGCTTGTTACACTTTACAAAAGAAATCGGTGTCTAGTTTAGGGCTCTTCATCATGTTTCAGATGAGTTACACCAAAGAGATGTCTCCCAACTATATTTCTAAAATTGTTTTATTTGATTAACTGTTCAAGCCCTAAAAAGGTGAAATATTACAATATTTTCCAAAATAATTTAATATTTAAGAAATAAACAAACATCAGCAGTTAAAACTAGCTCCACCTCAACCAGCTGCAGCAGTAAAATGCTTCTTACACAGCGATGCTTCAGTATTAATGATTTAATATTGTAAATATAATAATTTATCCGTAACAGGGACCATTTTTCTGCAAATTGAATACTTTTTCTGTAGAACTAGTACAGGACTTTCAACAGTAAATAGTATTGGTACTTTTTGTAAAGTAAAGGATCTGAGTGTGTATTCCATCTATGCTGTTGCAGAAGAGTGACACCTGTTCTATTGCTCTTCCTGAAGTTTCTCCTTTTTTCCCCCTGAAGGATTTTTGTGAAGCTTTTCTTCTCCAAACTGAGGGTCTAAAGACGGAGGTTGCTGTGTGTTGCACACATTGTAAAGCCCAATGAGACAAATTTGCGTTTTTGGGCTCGAAACATGGAATTGATCTGGTATGAAATACATCTAGACTTTAGCTCTTTAACAATGTCTAAAATATATTACTTCATGTTATTAGAATATGTGTTTTGACATATATTTGTTACATAATCGTCCTTGCTCAATTATAAATTGATGCTAAAATAAAATGCACTCTGAAATCTCCTCAAGAGCTCTGCTGAACCAATCTGACCAAACCATCTGCTAGACCTGTTCTCAATAATGAAGTGGATGAGGGGATTGAGGAGGGTAACACACACACATACACACGCAGATACATACATAGAAAACAACCACAAATGCATATCAAATGAACATAACGCACTTCCACACATGTACGTACAAATGCAGCACTCATGCAGATTACTGGCTGACAGGAAGAAGAAAGCCACTTGAAATTAGGGCCCCCCTTGGTCAGAAGTGGAGTCTCCCTGATAAGATATAATTTTCCATGTATTGTTGAGTGCTCTAATCAATGTTTTGTTTGTGCACTGTGTGCCTTTTAGGCCAATAATAATTGCTGTTTTCAACAGAGCACAGATACAATATAAGTCTCTGGCCAGGTTTCAATCAGATAGGTGTTTAGTAAACAAGTTATGTTCAGTGCATGATAAAGCCATAACACTTGAATGTGTTTGTCCTGCGAGATCAGTGTATGTAGATAAGACGTCTGTGAGCAGCACAGGTAAAAGCCCTGCACCACTTAAGATGTTAGGGTTGCTTTTTTTCCCATAGCAACAGTCCCCTGGCAACCAGTAAGAGTGCCAGTTATATTCGTAGTACTCCATACCCCTCTGGCTCCCTCACACATACCCTTCCTCACTTTCTCTATCACCCACAGCCTCTCTCTCTCTGCCCCATCATTTTCCCTCTGAGTATGTGTGTTTGAGTCTGAGTGAGTCTGCATGTGAGTCAGCTGCATCCTCAGCACCTGGGACGTTACTTCCATTCTCCACAGGGGAAGCTGCATCGCTGACACTGTAAGTTTAACAGATGTGCTGCTGCTTTTAGATTCATTTGTGTGATTATTTTTAACTGTACTATATGTATCATGTAAATGTATCATTATGTTTTATTGAAAGTGGATCTTTTACTATTTGATTGCATCATGTAGTTGTGGATTATGGAAAATAAATAAAAATTTAAATGGCCAGTTTATTTATCATGTTTTATACATGAGTTTGCATTTTCCCTGGTAATATTTTACATTTTTACCCCTGTTTTTTTTTGTTTGTTTGTTTTTTCCACTTTTTTCTTAGCTGGTGCAAAAACATGAGTATTATGTAATTTCATTTTGCCTCATTTGCAGTTGTTTTCTTATTTTCTTATGTCACGTTCTATTTTCCAACATTACACTTAACCGTGTCTGGATGAATGTACTGAAAAAATGTCTTCTCCTCTTATTTGTTTACATAGCGTTGTTCACTTGGTTGACGGCTCTTCAGGTTTGTCAGTCAGGGCTCCAAGCCAGAATCTCTGCGGGTGTCTAAGAGAGGAGAGGGAGGTCAACATGGGCTCGAGCTCCTCCTCCTATGCCCCCAAAACCATTTACCTGGATGTGGATGGGAAGGTGCAAAAGGTAGGTCCAGTTCCAGCAGAAATGTTTGAATTCTTAAGTCTTTTTTATTGTTTATATTGTTAAAATTATGTTCAACGTGAGATGTCTGAAATAGCTAGTTTGACCAAAAAGTTAACCAGTTTTTCCAGAAACTGTTTCACAATTAAAAGTGCTAGGAAATATGAATTCATTAAGATTTTAATATACAGGAGATATACAGAATATACAATATACACCTTGTAACATCCAGAGTCAATAATGTGGCTATGAATATGTTATCTGTATTCTGTAACACTCATCGTAAAACACATAAACAGTACAGATGTTTGAAACACTTTGACTATTTCTTATATTAATCACATCTGTGTTTGCACATGGAGTATGTGTCAACTTGTTGATAAAATCACAATTAAAACTCTTGAAATCCAAGTTACATGGGTTGTTTATGGGTGAAAAAAAAAAATCAAAAATATGTTAGAAGTTGTCACTGTTGAAACTCATCCAATAAATCTAAATTCTTTTTTTCTATTTCAAGACATGAATCAAAATTTGATAAAAAGTTGATTAAAAAAAAAGGAAAAGACACCTTGAACTCCTTTAACTATGGCAATTAAATCATTCAATTCTTGACGCATAGCAAGTATTCCCCTGTGGAATAAACTCACCTATGGAGGAGTTAAAATTAGACGGTGATGCAGAGCAGTTTGACTTACAGGTGTTACTGACAGAACCAAACACCTGTTGTTAGCAGCTTTACTAACCGGAATTCATTTCTGCTGTCTCACAGCTCTGGGGCATGAGTGAAATCGTGGCTATACATCTATATATTTCCTTCGGCTTATGTTTATGTCTATTCAAGCAACTAATTAGAAATACGGAAAAGAAAAAATGTGGAACACAAATTGAAGTATAACATATCACTTATTTCAGCTTTTTAATCATAATGACAACAGGGCGACAGTTTAGTGATCATTGCAATAGTCGTGACAAATGGTTTCAGGCTCGGGTTTTATGTTTCAGCATTCCAGACATACTGAAATACAGATAAATGAAACACTTGTCGATCTGGTGAATGTGGAGTACTTCAAGTAGAGAGCTGGCAATGACACATGTCTGTTCAAGAGCCCCAAGCCCACGGCCTGAGGCTGAATGTTTGTCTGCTACACCTGCTCGCTTTTAGATGTAAGATCACAGTTTTGTTTTTTTTTTGCCCAGGGTGTATTTGCCCACTCTTTGCTATAAACCCTCCGTAGACAGATTTGTTTTGTACACTGCATACAAGTCGCGCAGTGTGCTTGTGAGTCGTGTAAACTGGACTGATTTGTTTTCGCATGACAGGCGTGGATAATGTTGCTATCTTCAAGAGCTCCATGAACTCTCACACTCCAGCTGTCCTTTTCTTTCCCTCTTTGGTCCCTCTGCCGTGTTAACCTTATTCAGCCATAAAAGAAATCAACCCTTACTTTACACCCCCATGTGACTCGGTTGTCTAAAAAACACATGAAATCTGATAACCGTCCTTCCCTGTCAGAACACGGGGACCTTATATCAAAACAGCAGCTGTTTGTGTGCAGGTGTGCCTTTGGAGACCATATAGACACAGACTGCACTGTGTTGGACTTATGGGCAACAGAGGAGGTTTTCTCAATAACCATGAGACAAGATAGTGATTAATACCACTACTATGTGATATTATCCCCCTCCCCAAAAAAACAATTAATTCAACCTTCATCATTTCCATCACATGTAGCTACAGTATATAAATCAAAACAAAACGGGAACCATGCTTGCACCTGATTTAATGAATTAAAAGAGCTGCGTGTGTCTCACAGGTGGTGTTCAGTCGGCACTGCAGTCCATGTGACATCAAGGAGCTTCTGTGTTCCTCATCGAACATTCCCAGGTTTGTCTGTGAAGATTCTCAGTCATCCAGGTCACGCATATCCGAGAAGGGTTGAATCAAGGGCAACCACTGCACAAAAATATACAACAGAGAAAGACTCGCATGCAGTCATAGTGCACCATGATGGATAGAGATATAAAAACACGTTGAGAAGCTCCACATGGTAAAGCCGAGACTGACAAACAAGGAGCACTTGTGAGCAAAAAATTAAACAGACAAACTCCATTAGTCGTGCACATCAGAACAGGCAATGATTCATGCAAGATATAGTTGTCATCCGCTTTTATTGAGAGAGATAAACTTTTTATACGCCGCTCTAGGGCATTTTGATTTAATTATCTCTGGTGACTGCCTTCCTAAAATACAATATGATGCACATTATTACGTGTGTAACAATAAAATAAAATAAAAAAACACATCAATAAGAAGATAATTTCTGTTTCATATATAATATCATATCAAACAAAGTCTTGCTCCATGGAAGAAAAGCCCAAATAACTTTATTTTCAAAAACCTTTATCGTTCAAGAAATAGTGTAAAAGGTTAAGAGGAGGGATTACAACTCAAGGGATTCTACTTTTCTCACTTTTACTCTCATCTTCTCACAACAGGAACACTGCCATCATGATGGTGGACCCAGAGGGTGCCTTGGTCTCCATAGATCCCACCATGCCCACCAACTCTCCAAGGTAACACACCTGCACTATCATATTGTATTTGTATAGAAATCACATCATCTTTTTCCAAATTGCTGCCCCTTTCCAGAGGCCTTTTTTTTTTTTCTTTTTTTGCAAACAATCGTTATCAAGTGAGATTGAGATTTCACCATGGAAACAGTAGCTGAAAAAACAGTCTCACCATAAGTCTATTTAGTAGATGTTAAGGAGCTTTCAATCTTATCTACAGATCAGTCGCTCAATGGACTGTGTGGCGAGATTGTTTGGTCAACTCTTTATAAGGGTTTGAAAAATTCAAAGGATCTGACTTAGTTAAAAAATATCACTGTAGAAACATTCATACGTTGATGTTGGTAATTAGGAATAATAATTGCACATCTGATTTCCTCACAGCTCTTTGTACAAAGTTGTCCCTCTGTCTACGGGCCAACTTGGAGGTAAGCTGTACGTGTTAGTAAAGTAATGATTAGTTTGAATACCTAATTACTTGATAACGGGAGTGCTGTTCACAATGATTTACCAGAATTGTATTTATGTCTGCAGAGAAGGAGGACATGTTTCAGAACGTGTTATCACAGGTGGCTGAGCAGTTCAGCAGGTAACACCTCTGTTGTTTATGTTATGTTATGGCTGAAGCCTGCCCTCCCCCGCCCTAACACATATTTCACACACATAGCTGGCACTGGTGCATTTCACTGGTAAAAACCTGCCACAACCCATGGAGGCAAGTTGAATTCGACAACAACTTCTTTCAACTTTGAGCTTTATTTTGCAGGTCCCATTCCAGTTTTATTTTGTCATTATAAGCAGTGAACCGTGTGAAGTAGGCATACATGTCATTCCCTTATGATTTGCTATTCTCTCCCAGAGCCTTTCGCATCAATGAGTTGAAGACTGAGGTCACCAACAGGCTAGCCATGCTGGAGAAGAGAGTGGAATGTGAGTTGTACATTTAAAACGATGTATCTTAAAGGACCTTACAGGATATCCTATTCTAAAGCACCATAACCAGTGATATGAATGCAAAATAAAATCATTCTGGCAGAAACATATTATGTGTCATTTTGTTTCAGTGGAGGGCTTGAAAGTGGTGGAGATTGAGAAGTGTAAAAACGATCTGAAGAAGCTACGCGATGAGATGACTTCAAGAGGCGGTGGCAGGTGAAACGAAGTTAAACACAAGACCTCTACATTATGTTCAATTACCACATTCATTTCAAAAATACTGTCAAAATTAAACAAAGTCCCTTAAACCTTTTATCTTCCGACCGCAGAGTAAACTGTCCGTGCAAATACAACTTCTCAGACGACGGGAAGAAGGTCACTCCTAGACGAGATGTCCCCAATTACCCCAAGGTATGTCCCCTTTGACAGATCCCTTTAGATCACTATTAGACAAAACTAACTTCTGATTATCTAAAGCTTCTTTTGATGTTCTGATGATTTTTTTTATTTCTTATCTGGCATATACAGTACACATTGTCTCAGGAGACTGTTGAGGCGCTGAAGAAGCCAACATTTGATGTCTGGCACTGGGAACACAATGAGGTTTGTGGATATCGCCACTCAACTCCATCAGCCGTTTCCATAGCGTGTTCTCCAAGGCACTGATATCTGACTTTCTTTTTTCTTTCTTTGTTGTTGCAGATGCTGAGCTGTCTCGAGTACATGTACCATGACTTGGGGCTAGTGAAGGAATTCAACATGAACCCCATCACACTCAAACGCTGGCTGGTAAAGTTAGAACAATAAAGGACACATTATACACTGTAATGCACATGGTCCAGATTTAAAGACAGAGCTTTTCAATAAAAAGCAGTGGTGTTGCTGAGAGGAGTATCAATGTTCTGACATAGATTACAAAATGATTATCAAAGGTTACGATGGTTAGAAATGCTTTTGATTTAATATTCAGCAGCGAACGCACACTGAATGAATAAATCTCTGTCTTCTAGTTGGCGATTCAGGAGAACTACCGTAACAACCCCTTCCACAACTTCCGTCACTGCTTCTGCGTTAGCCAGATGATGTATGGCATGATTCACCTCTGCAACCTACAGGTAAACTGCGTGTTTGTCAGTACGGTGTATGTTCATGTGTGTCAAGGACATCATTCAAGTGAACAGAAGTTAAAGAAGTTCTGAATGTCTGAACTGAATTTCTTACAAGTCATTTTTTTCTTTTTTAATATAGAATCATCCGTCTTTAAAATGCTCACTAATGAACTCCCAGGATGAACATTTTTGCATTTTCTGATTATACTGTTCCTTTGCACCGTTGTCCAGGAGAAGCTGACTCTCACTGATATGGGCATTTTAATGACAGCTGCAGTGTGTCATGACCTGGACCACCCCGGCTACAACAACACGTAAGACTCACTATCCTATCTGTAGGGGTGTTGACAGATAGACCAGTGCAGATGCCCATTGACCCCTCACCATGTTTTGACATCCTCCCCACAACACCGTTGTCAATGAACTGTGAAACTAGTTCAGCATGGAGAGAGTTCTGGTATGAAAACACCCTGATTCAGATTATCATGTTGTTCTTGGTCGGAGATTCAGGCAGGCGAGGCAAGGACCTCTCTTATCAGGGCAACTTCATGTGGAAAATACCATCAATCCATCATTCATCATCTGTCATCCATCTATCAGGTACCAAATCAATGCCCGCACAGAGCTGGCAGTGCGCTACAATGACATATCTCCGCTGGAGAACCATCACTGTGCTGTGGCCTTCCAGATCCTTTCTCTTCCTGAGTGCAATATCTTTGCAAATGTGGATCCTGAGGCATTCAAACAGATCCGACAGGTGAAATGTGCAGTTAATGCCCTAATTACTGAGCAGCGTAGCGCTTGAGTAAAGACAGAGGTATCCTTAGGGATCTCTTCGTGACAATTAATCTGAAGACTATTGTGATTTCATGAATAAAAATGTACACATATGTCGTGCAAACCTCTCATACAAAGCTTTGATGTTACATTTTTCAGGCTATTATCACCCTCATTCTGGCCACCGACATGGCCAGACACGGAGAGATACTCGACTCCTTCAAGCAAAAAGTGGACAACTTTGACTTCACCAATGAAGAGCATGTGACATGTGTATGTACACATTATGTCTTACAAGATCACATTGCATCTCCACCTGACATCAGCTGTTTACTTGTCTGTACATACAAGATCTGACCTCAAAACAAGCTGGCCTTTATTTGTTGTGTGTGCTGTAATCAACTGGAATGGGATACTGGATAGTAAACTGGATAGTATTAGTGTAACTGGGAAAGTGTCAAAGAAATACAGTAGATGCTGTATGACAGACCTACTACACTATTCACCACAATAATGAATAGGCTTCTTTGTCCTCAGCTTGTGTATGTATTGTACATGTATATGTTTGTGTTTTCAGCTGAAGATGGTTTTGATCAAGTGCTGTGATATTTCCAACGAGGTTAGGCCAACTGAGGTCGCTGAGCCATGGGTGGACTGTCTATTGGAGGAGTACTTCATGCAGGTGACCCCCAACCAAAGCCTTCACTTTTACCCCTATATACAAGATCTAATGTCGTCAGCTTGAAGAAAGGGCTCAGCACTCTGGATCAAATGACAATATTTCCACTTTCCGCTTTCCAGAGTGACAGGGAGAAGTCTGAGGGTCTCCCAGTGGCTCCCTTCATGGACAGAGACAAAGTCACCAAACCCACTGCTCAAATTGGATTCATCAAGTTTGTTCTCATCCCAATGTTTGAAACTGTCATGAAGGTAGAAGTGTTTATGGATTTGTGCCTATTTCAGCAAACTGTCATTGATTAACAGATAATGTTCACACTGTGATGTTTTCCCAACAGCTTTTCCCTCAGATTGAGGAGATCATGGTTCAACCTTTGAGAGACTCTCGTGACCACTACGAGGAGCTGAAACAGATTGACGATGCCATGACAGAGGTAGAACCTATTCTTTCTTTCTTTCTTTCTTTCTTTTTCTTTCTTTCTATCTATCTATCTATCTATCTATCTATCTATCTATCTATCTATCTATCTATCTATCTATCTATCTGTGGGTGGGGTGACTACAGCACACAGCCAGTTAGCTTAGCTTAGCATAAAGACTGGAGAGAGGGGAAACAGTTAGCCAGGCTTTGTCGAAAGGTAACAAAATCATCATCATTAATTAACATTTGTTTTTTCACATGTAATCTTTACAAAAAACTAAGTTTAGAAATTACAGTTTGGTTTTTTGCGGGCGGGTTTTGTGCCTGACTATTTCTTGGCTCCAGCCAGTTGCAGGCTAGTCAGGTAAATTCAATTTTATTCATTTTCTATTATTGATTACTGGTCCCAGTCAAGAAATAGTCCTGTAGATAGCCCCCCTGTAAAACTACATGTTGATATCAGTGACTTTGCTTTAAGCTTGTGCTTTTGAATTTTGAAATGTAATGCTATAAGCACCATAAACAATGAAGGAAATAGGTTTTGAATGCAATTCTTCCTTTTTGGATCTGGTAAAATGATCACAATGTCAGAATATTATTGTTATTTTGATATTTTTTGTGTCAATCATACAGCAAAAAAGAGTGAATGTCATATTTTGACCTCAGGGGATGTAGTGAAAAAGGCTGGGAATAAGAGTGGTTTGACTCTGCACACACATGCAGCAAACAAAGATAGAAAGGACTCTTCATTACTGTCGCAAACATGCCTGACCTGTGAAAACATTTAAAGGGAGACCAGAATGTAAGGGGTTAAAACAATGGCGGCAATACATGCTTCCTGCAGTGAGAAGAAGGTAAACAAATCCAAGTTGACTCACACACTGTCATTTAAGCTTTTTACTTGGAGTGTTCTGCAATTTGTTTCACATGGGTGGGGTCTCAATCACACACACACAAACACACACACACGCACACGCACACACACACACACAAACATGGACGCATCAAACCACTTGCTAACATAAAGGTGTGTCTTTTGTTCAATGAGGCACAGAAGAAAAAAACTGAAAATATGTCATTAGGCGGGAAGAAGAAGTAAGCTCTGCAGTGAGTGAGTGCAGTGGTATCTGTGTAAGTAAAAGTAACTGACTCCTTGGTTGTGCTTTTTTTCTTCTTTTTTTTAGTGTTAGTGTCACGAGTGCTCTCTGTCTCTGCCTCTCTCTGGCCTCTCCACAGCAACTCTCCTCTGCGCTGAACTCTTTCTACCAAAAGTCAGACCTTTAGGAATGTGCAGCACTTTCATTACTTTGGATTCTCTTTATATCAGTAAGCTCACAAAAAGGAAAACCAACGGGGTGATCCCGTTTAGCCGGCTCACGCAAAATTGGTTCAGAAAGTCTTGGCAAGTAGGTAGCTCCTGTTTGTATAGAGCATCAACGGCCTGCAAAGAAAAGTAAAGAAAGACAGAAGAAATAAATAAAGAAATCTCATGAAAATTATTAAAGTTAATGTTCAAAAAGTTGAGTTTTCAATTAAAAAATAGTGTGATTTTTGATACTCTGCCCCCTTTTGATTTCTGCAATGTCATGTCAGAATATGACACAAAGTGGTGAAAATGTTGCTCATTTGTTTCCCTCTTAAACACCATGTTTCCTTTTTTTTTTTTTTTTACAGTGGCAAGATACAACACTTTCTGCTCATGAATTGAAACTCTAACCTTGTTTCTGTCATTTTACATTGAACTTTTCCACAGAAATAAAATGAAGTCACCACTAGAGTCAGAGTAAGTCTTGACTTTCCACAGAGGGAGGTCAATCCTCACTCACAGCTCTATGGCGACTTCAATCAAAGACCTTTTTTTTTTTTTTTTTTTTCTATGAACACTGAGGTGGATGGTTTGTGCTGATCTAGGCACAGCTCTCTGTCAATGACCTTGTTGTTTCAAACTAGATTTAGTTTCAGCTTTCGTCCTTCAGCTGTGTCTCTCTGCCTGACTCCAGCTCTTATTTTATTGCAGGGGTCTTCTTTTGTGTTCAGATTCAGGAAAGACTTTAATAAAACATGAGTGAAGCCTCGGTGAAGACGTTCTGCGCTGCGCTCTGAAGACGACAGATGGAGCAGGAGGGAGAGAGTAAAGAGACAGACAGCTTGGCTACATACTGAACTAAACTTAGGCATTAAGGTGGCATATCTTGAACTTTGACTTAGACTTTTGCACTGGATGTAACAGAGAGGGACCTGCTGACCTCTCTGCATATTTATGGTGTTTATGTTGTTCTCTATTTTTTTTTTTATTTTAATGTAATAGCACCTCAAGAGTTTGAAGGACCAGTTTCTCAAAAAAAACAAAACAACTTAAAACCTTATTTTGAGATTGATTACTGTGCATTTAAAACAAATATACAATGGCTGCAGAATTGGCCTCATGGACCAAAGGTTCAGGAAAATGTTTTCACCAAACAATAAATGATGATATCTTTTTCCACTAGACAAATAAAATGCACCAAAGTGGGATGTTTTCACCTCAGTGTAGCAATAAAATTGTGATTGACATGGTGCATTCTGTGTTTTCCAAAGAATAATGCAGCTTTGCACCTTTACTTTTTTTTTTTTTTTGTTCACGCACAATGAGCAGTTCATTAATCACAGCTCTAGATGTATTCTCTTTGCGTTCAACAGTTTTAATAAAATAAAGCCACGTAGGGGCTCATATTGTTCAAGGTGTTACACAATTTGTCCTGTAAAAAAGTTTTCATCTCACAATACATGTAAACTGTGCTTTCTATGTCTGTTCCTCTGTCACACCCTCTGAGTCCTTATATATAAAGGTTAGACAACGCACATGCCAGAGTGTCGTCTATCTAAAAAAAAGGATAACTGCGTGTCCACAGTGAGTCGAGTCACATTGTGTAATACAATACAAATTATAATACAAATACTAAAACATATTAGCATAAAAGTATCTCTATGTGACATTAATCATGAAAGTTCCTTCCTGACCAGAAAAAAGTAGTTTGACAAAACAATCCTATCTAGCTTTTTCTGGAGCTTTCAGCAGTATTACACAGTCTTCATCGGCGGTTTGTTCAGTTATAGTGGAGGTGGATCTGTTTCCATGCAAACCCAGAGGCTGTTACACTTTCATTCGTAGCATTTTCAGGACTTTGCAGCCGCTTTGAAACGCAAAGAAAAGTAAGCAAATTGCTGATGAAGACCATGTGATGTAGTTAAAAGATCCAGAAAAAGTAAAAGTGCCAATTTAGTTCACTGTGGTAACATTTCACATACAATTATTGGTTTCAGTTCATTATGACATATTGTTCCAGCTATTATGAAGCCAAATATGTAAATGCGAGCATCACCTGTTCACACTAAATCAGCTTCCTCTCTGACTCAGTGCAAAACAATCTGCCCACCCACAGCTGTGCATTTGAATGTTTAAAACATGAAAACAATACTTTCATTTTAAGGAAGTTAATGTGTCATGTCAATTGAAGATGTGTTTGTATGGGTAAATTGGATGTCATATCAACACCACGTCATGACATATTTCTGTGTCACATAACAGTCAACCTTCCTCTCTGGTTTGACAACACAGACTGATGTTTTCTCGGCCCATCGTCCTGATTGAAATATATTTTATTGCTCCATTTTGGACTTGAGGGCTAGGATACAGTCAACATGTGTTGAAATATGAGTGGTTATCTAGTTATGTATCTCCCAAAGGTGCCACTTATCTCAGCCTGCACCACGCCCCTTTATCTCTCTACAGCTTCCCTTTGAGCCATATCAGATCTGGGTGGTTTTCCTCCAGCTACTCCACAGTGTTTTTATTACTGTGCTTTTTTTTCAATTACTCCGGAGCAATTATTGCCTCACCTGCTGGCCTCGTCTCACACTCATCAAATACCACCTACAAAGCTCTGAAGTAATCATTTTAATAACACAGAGTAATGCGCACACAGTATGAATTACCAAAGACATTATGTAGACAGAATCTTGGTTTGTTTGTGAATTCAAAAATCAGTTTGGAGAATCGACACAGTTTCTCTCCTCTACTTTGTAGCTTCATTTGATGTATATATGTATATATGTATCTCTATATATAGAGAGAGAGATATATATATATATAGAAGCATACTACTGCAATCCTCCTTATAAATTGATGACCTTAAAGAAATAATAAAAAAAAACAAAAACAGTAGACCACATGTCATTGTCACAGCTGAGATAAGAGAAATTGAGTGAACATATGAGTGTGTGTGCTGTTTGAAGAAATGTAATTACCCATCACCTTCCCCACATGGCGTGACAGAGTGTGTTAACATTAACCGACAGGAATGCTCTGATTAAACAACATGCTCTCTGATCATAAAGCACTCTGTTGCATGGCCACTGATCAAAGCATTGAGTTTCTTATTGACATGTTGAGAATGTGCACTACATGTTATATTATATTTTCTTCTGTCTTACTGTTTGTTAAAATTCTTAATTTGTATCTTCTCTGTAAGTGACTGACGACCTGGTTCATTGTGCAGATTTTTCTTCTGAGACTAACACTCATTTCACTTACAACATCGAGAGATGAACAGCTCAGACTGAGCATCCACCCAGCCTGCGAACTTGTCATTCAGTAGACCTCATAGATGTTTTCACAAGTCCAACTTTAATTGAAGTAACTGATCTCTAAACCCTTTAGTCATTCTCTTTGCCTCGAGGCTGGGTGTTGCATCATGTTAAACTGCCACAATACTTCACTGGGCCGGTTTGTTAATGAGAAAGAAGTGACTACTGTATCTATTACAAAGACACCTTGATGGTGGTTTAACGAACAAGTGTTTAATTTGGCTTCCACTATATGATATGATGACATGATATCGGACCTTCTGCGTGCAACGGGAGGTGTGGCAGCTTTGCAGTGACACTTGAGCAGGGCCTTGGTGCATAATCCCACTGATTTACTGTCAATTTAGTAGCAGTTGCATTCACTTAACACAAATGCAAAGATCCATTTTCAGAAATATTTCTCTTTGACTGTGTTTCCTACATAGAAAAAAGCGAAATTTTAGACAATATAAAGATATACTTGTTTGATTTTGAGAGTAGAAAACTAAATAATAATAATAATAATTTTTTTTTTGACAACATGTCAACACTGGAATATCTGGCAATTTTCTGGACTTTTGGACTGAAACAAAAAAGTAAATATCATTTTGTTATTATATTATTTTGTTATATGTTCACATTGTGTTATTGGCCAGGCCAGTTACTAGTGGCACACCATGCCATCATACTGTAATTACCATTAGCTTATAGGAGAGAAAATGGCTGAGCACTGACGACAACAAACCATCTCCCAAAGAAAATATGTTCTTTGATGTTCCTGAGAGATTTGCTGGGTACAGGGGTTCTCCAGTGATTTATTATCTCATAAGATTAGGAGACTCAGAAGAATAGATTTAAAAGACTTTGCTAAGCTCCACCAGTTGTTTTCACGGGCTGAGTAATACGCCTCATGATGAAAGGCCACCATGTGCAGGAGATTTATGTAATTATACTATTTCACAAATTATTTTCCAACACATTAATTTATTGATAGTAGAAAACGTATCCAGTCCTGGTGATAATTAGCACAGTTTTTTCCGCCCATTCATCTCAGTGTCCCCAGGTCAGATCCACGGGGTCTTTCTTTGACCCTACCACAGAGGGGCGACAAAGCAGGAAATGTTCAAATCCTACACATACCTGCGTTTTTTTTCTACACTTTGCTTTACAGTGAACTCTGATTTGCATTATGTGTGTTCAATTTAATGAATTATTAACAATGAAATGCTTTGCTAACCCATGCAACCTTATTAGAGGTTAAAGTTATGAGACTTGTCAGATGAGCAAGATCTATATATGAACTGTGCAGGTAACTCCCACAGCTTTCAACTGTGCTCCAAATCACAGATGACAGATCTTCACTGGTGGTCTGACAAATCCTAATGCTGGAAGAGACAGAAGGGTAATTTGATCCATCTTAAGTCTTTTTATCTAGTTTTATCGCCGCATATCAGGTGAACAGCATGTGAAAAAGATCTATACAGGAATGCTGAT